AAGCAGAGATGCGATCCTAAGGCCACCAAAACGGATCCCCTCAACACCTCGGCTGCGCCTAGAAATTCTGTCCAAGTAAATCTGCAAGTAAATCAGCTTTTGACAGATCAAATTTTAACGTAATGTTTCTGAAACTGAGTTATACCCTTTTTGTGTTTGCACACGTTGATTTGCTGTGGTTGTGGGTTGACTCAAAAAGTAAACCAGTTTTAAGTGTTCTTCCAGTAAGTACTTTATAAAAGTTTCATTAAGATTTGTTTACTAGTTTATGAAATGTTTAGCTAACAGACACAGTGACTTCAGCAGTTAATGCCAATGTTTAATCAAAGYTCTTGTTCAATTTATTAGCATAAGAAGTATGTTGTTTATAAATAACAGCAACACCAAATTTGAACTCTAACTGTAGAGAAGACATTGCCATTTCTTGTGTTTGCCCAAGTCATTTAGGTGTGGCAGCCATATTGAATCTGGCTGACTCCAAATGTTATCAGTTGTAAATAATCTTGGTTAGTTTAAGACGATCCACTATTGATGCACATCTGACTTAGTGACAAAGATAGTCACAGAGCCTAAACAGTATGTGGGTAAGAGGGGACCAGCATTCCTGTTTTGAAAATAATATTATAAGGAAGTAAACTGACTCATATTTTGTATATAAAATAGTACATATTTTGATTTCATTGTTTTCTTGTGCATTTTTGCCTGCAACTTTTTAGCAGTGTAGTGTTGAGGAAGAAGAATGAGTCAGCAGATGATTTGCCTAAACTTCCCTGTACCTAAAACAAAGCACAATAAACCAAAGCTGAAAGAAATGTTGATGTTCTGGAGTAAACATTTTTTCCAAACACAGGATGACATTTACAGACATCCTTTGTGTGCAAGTAACTACCGACGAATATGGGTTGATGAAGAATAACATCTTCAGAAAAGTTGATTCATAGCAACATCTTCAGTAGTTTACCTCAGGGTCATTGGTTGMTTTGGCCATTTACTACTAGACACCCTCTTCTGAGGAAGACCCTGCAAAGGGTGATCCATCCTTGCAGTGCTCCATAAATCAGCTTTTCACTGGGGCCCAGCAGGGATTTTTCCTCCTTATCRACAACCATTGACTGTTTTTCTCGGCTGCCTCTGAAGTAGCTCTGATGGCTTGATGCTGACTCCGGCCTCCAACTCCCAAGTCCTTCAGCAGTTTGATGGTAGTCACTACTACAAATCTTCTGCACCCCACCTCTGCAGGCTGGACTTCAATATTAGTATTGTATATACAGTAAATAATTGCATAATGAAAATGGAGTTACTGAGTGACAAATGGACTTTGCATAGCATCTGTTCTAGACATTCACATGTGCTCATTAGAATTGTGTATCTTTGGTTTGTGACTGATGCAGTATGTATCTTAATACACTGCCAATGATCCAATCCAAAACAAACAAAAAAAAAAAAAAACCCGAACCCCAAAAAAGACTAGCCTGGCCCTTGCCTTCCTATGCAGTTCCGCTCATTTCTAGTTTCCCTTCACTGCTCTGTCTGGAATTTCTCCCATAGAGAAGGATTTCTTCGGGAGCATTTCATTTGGGCCAGTCAGAGAATAGAACGTCGATTTTCTGCGCAGTGTCAGCTTGCAGTTTATTTTACCTGGGCCAATCAGCAAACAAGGCGGAATTTTGAACAACGGTGATTTTCTGCACAGTGACAGCTGGCTAGTTTAGCAATGGCAGTGGAGGAAGTGAAAGAAGTCAGTCCATCTTGAAAAGGCTTCCAAATTAAAATAAATTTGTCTGACAAAGCCTGCAGCTCTCATTTATAGTCGTCTCGTTCGGCTTGATCCTTCTCTCAGTAGGGTTGTTTACAGTGCATGCAATTTCCAGTTAGCTTCTTAGCTTAGCCTCCTTCACAGTGGAGCTGGCACGCATACGTCACGGCCAACCGATCCAATCATTTAAAACTTGTCACGCCTCCAGCAAGAATTGCTTCTCTATAGCCGAGAGTTCAGACCCTCGTGCGAAGCAAACTGAAGGTCAAGTATCTGGTTTTTACCAGGCTAAAAAAGACAGGAAAATACTTTTTCTTGGTTTGCTCAGTTTCAAACTCTGAGTTTCACTATTTTCATAAATTCTAAGCAGGTATGATACATTAACTAACACCTTGTTGCAGTGACTTAATTCCAGTTGCAGTTTTTAATACCAAAGTGCAACAATACCATGAAAAAAATAGTAGATCATTAAAAAGAAAGATATGAATCTCAAAAATACAACACCTTGTGATCAATATTTAKATCAATGATGTCAGTTGTCATTCAAATTCAGTTGTTTTGATGCTAGAACTCTTGAAAGGTCAGTAAATATCATTGTAGGAGGGGAAAACGTCAAACCGTTGTCAACGTTTTTTTTTTCTTGAGCGCCTCAACATCTAGATGTGAGTTTTTGTTTCTAAATTTGAGCAAAGAATTGACAGTTGTTTATCTACAGTTTTTAGTATGTGACGTACAAATCCAGATATATGACCTTTGAAACTCACACAATATGTAATGTGAGAAAAAACACAAACTCTGCATCATCAAATATTTGGGAGGTAGGAGTTAGCTTTTATTCCTTGCCTTTTTGCACATCACACACTATTTTTATTGTCGTCATTGTACTATGATATAGTATGATGTGTTCCCTTTTCTGTTTGTTACATTTTCATGGTTATCTCACTGTCTCTTCTTCCATGTTCCACTCCCTACATTTCTTGTTAAGCTCAGGAAAGGAAACAAACATGAGGCTAAAGTCGGGGAAACAAACGTCACTGTGTCCTGTAAACATTAGACTCTAAGGTACACTGACACAGTGCTGCAAAAATATCAAACATTTATTGTCACTGCAGCATCAATGTGTTAAATACTATTATCACACAGGGCTTTTTGCACTGCAATAAATCATAAACTATTACAGTAAGTGCTGTAATAGTGCACATAAGTGCTCTAAGTTGCCAATATTATATTTAGCCAATTTGATGGACTGTCACTGCAGTTGTTACAATTTTAATAATTAATAATTAAAACAAAACTGTTCGTTCATCTTCACTACTTTTTGTCCACTTTGCTAGTTGTCCTAGCTGAAATCATTATATTTAACAATAATGATAATAAAATATATTTTACTATTATTGTGCAGCCTTACACTAGAACATGACCGGGTTCTTATTATGGTTTTTCCCTATTTATTAGCTGCATTATGATTGCTGAGTCTCTATCCAATGTGACTGAAGTCTACATTTCCACTTTTTTACAGGTTTCGGATCCTGTGCAACAAGATCATCACCCACAAGATGTTTGATCATGTTGTGCTGGTCATCATCTTCCTCAACTGCATCACCATCGCTATGGAGAGGCCTCGCATCGAATCTGCCAGTGCTGTGAGTGTCACAACATACAGAGGTGTATAAAGTTCCACTCTGTAAAAATCTGCAACTTTATTCTGCTGGCTGCCAGTTTTTTTTGTTGTTTTTTTGTAACATAGAGACAAATGTAAAAAGACAGGTGTGAGTATTAAAAAATTTACAGTGTAAACAGAAATTCCAGAGATATGTTTAATGTCTCTGTGTGGGTGTGCGCGTGTGTGTGTGAAGGGACTCGTAAAGGAACTCAGTGACAGCTCAGCAAATGTCCTAGGAGAGATGGAGAATAAGGAAATACCTGTGAGCATGTCAAAGCTTCATAAAACACTCTCTCTCACACACACACACACACACACACGCACACACGCACGCACACACACACACACACACACACTCACACTTGCACATGGCAGAAAATTTTTTTGAGTTTGCTCTCTGCAGAGAAATGGAGCAGAACATTGTGTAAGCAAGGAACCATTCCAGTTTGACCATGAGCCAGCAGTTCTAGGTGATGTGTGTCATACCCACACATCTTCTGCACCGCATCCATATTGTAACCTTCTTAGCTAAAGCTGCAGCCCTACAAAGGAGGTCTGGCTGGATTACTTGATGCAATGCTATGAAGATAGATATGTGTCGAAACCCACCTGGAAATTTTGATTTGAAACTTGGAGAACATGACTGAACCACTATGTAAAAAAAAACGAACAGAATTATTTGGGTTTGTGCTCAGATGTTGCAGCTAGTAGCACTTAATAATATTCACTCTCTAATCTGAATTTGCCCCCTATTATTTCAAAAACATTATTCTGTACTAACTTGTCATTTTTTAGTCTAGAAATGTGTTCCTGTTTCAGGTTTCTTCTTCATAAAAAGGCATATTGTGAGACTTAGGGTTCTCCATCAAGCCATCCAGGCAATAAACTTCCGGGAAAGTGACAAACCAGAAGAAACCATAACACGTTATAACGAGATGGTTATCTTGATATAACAAGATAGTTTTCTCGTTTTTACAAGATAGTTTTCTCGTTTTTAAAAGATAGTTTTCTCATTAGAACAAGATAGTTTTCCCGTTATAACGAGATAGTTTTCTCATTAGAACAAGATAGTTTTCCCGTTATAACGAGATAGTTTTCTCGTTATAACGAGATCAGGTTTCAAAATAATTTCGTGTCATGTGGCAGCTCTACGCTTCTGTAAAAAATAAATTCAATCAAAAAAATAATATTTTCAACCAAAAAAAATAATTTCAACCAAACCAAAAAAGCAGTTTCAATTAAAAAAAAATAATTTCAACCAAAAAAATGTTTTTTTCTACCAAACAAAAAAAAAAAGGGTATTTCAATTAAAAAAAAAAAAATCAAAACAGAAACTTTTGGTTGAATCTCAAACTTTTGCTTGACGCTTAATGTTTATGGTTGACTGTCTAAGWTTTTGGTTGAACTCAYAAAAGATTTGAACTCCATGATCACAAACTAGTAGAGTGGTGCAGAGAGTAGAGAAGCTGAGCTTGAAATTGGAAGGTAGCTGGTTCGACTCCAGGTTGGTCTTCATGTTGCACATGTGTGAAGGGTGAAATGCAGAGACTTATAAGAGACCTATTATGCAAAATTCACTTTTTAAAGGTTTTTTTTACTCAACTTTGGGTATGTACTTCTTAAGAAAACAGTCCTAGGACCAAAAACATGCACCCAGGGGCATATTTACTGTAAGTAAATGTATTTTTAATGTATATTAACAACAAGTTTTATACTTCCTACATTTTGTGATGTCACAAGCCGTTCAACAACCCACCGGAACCTGCGTTCAGCCCCTTACCTAGCAACCCCCGGGTGAGGCTCCACCTCCTCAGTATAAAAAGCCACCACGGTGTTGTTGTGTAATGTGCAGCTCATTTCACAAGCCTTCCAATAGGGCAATGGGTAGTGTGTTAGATCAGAAAGTGGGAGACCAGGGTATGAGACCGACAAGGGCACATACAATTTAATTATTTATTTTTGTTATGAACACGTTTTCTCATGTACCTCTATTGTTTAGCTTATTAAAGCCTTGTTAAAGCCTATTTGTTCAAGTTTCTGAGGTATTTTGACCGCTGCTGCTCCCATTACCTGCCCTGTTAACAGCATGCAGAGTGAGCGCACAACTCTGACATAGGAGGAGGGGGAGAAAAAAAAAGCTGCGACCACAACTCTGCCTCTGGGTCTGACTCAGGGTCTCATATATACGGTTGTACAACAGAGCTTCTGCTATTACTAGCCATGGTAACGTAAACGCTGGCTTTGAAGATGATCCCGTGGTAAGATGTTTATCATATACTGTATCGATCCTGGTGGGGGGGYAGCCTCTACATTTAACCCATCACACATGTGAACACATGTACAATCTGAAGTTGAACCAGCTACATTCTGATCTTAGACTCAGCTTCTCTACTCTCTGCGCCACTCCTCTAGTTTAGAATTTCTGAGTTCAAATCTTTTTTGAGTTCATCCAAAAACTTAGACAGTCAACCAAAAACTTAAAGCATCAACCAAAAGTTTGAGATTCAACGAAAAGGTTCTGTTTTGCAAAAAACATTTTGATTCAGAAAAACGCTAAGATGGCAGAGGAGTAAGACGCATGTCGCGTGGGCTCCCGCTCCGACTTGTTCATTCTATGGTTCTCTACTAAATGTCCTTGCTGCTTTGAGCATTTGGTCTGTCCGGACTCGACCCCTGAGTGATTCTTGCCTGGAAGAGTAGAAGAATGGCGACAAACTCGAGGAAAGGCAAACAGTCTAGCTCGGCGGCTGCTAGGCCCGACGCCGCCTCGGAGCAGGCTGCAGCTAAAGCCGGACTTTCGGCGCCCTCCTCTCCCTCCTGCAGCGAGATGGATGCACTCTCCTTGAAGTCTGACATTCTTGTCACTATAAAAACCGATCTCTCAGCTGTGATCAAATCCGAAATAAAAGCGGCTTTGGCTGAAGAGTTTACTCTTATTAAAGGAGAGCTACAAGCGGTGAGAGCTGAAGTGGCTAACGGCACAATGCTACTATGCGCCGACCTGGACCACCTTAAGCAAAGCGTTAAGGAGGTGGAGGACAGCTTGTCAACCTGGTCCAATGAGGTTGTTTCTCTGCGCACTACTGTCTTGGAACTGAAAGAAGAAGTCGATGGGCTCAAAAAGAAGTGTGATGATATGGAAGGYCGCATGAGAAGGTGCAATGDGCMYATTATTGGAGTTCCTGAAATGCCAGAATCCAGCTCCACTTCAGCAGTGGCTAAACTGCTAGCAGAGGTTCTACAGATGGATAAAGAGCCACTGGTGGACCGAGCGCATCGCTCTCCAGGTGGGAACAAGTCAGGCGATAAGCCGCGGGTTATTGTTGCTAAGCTGCACTATTTTCAAGAATTTGTGGAAATACTGCATCGGGCTCGGAGTCATGGTCCTCTTCGTTTTAAGGAGGCACCGATCATCATCACATCTGACTACACGGCGGCTGTGGCCAGGGCTCGGCCGGCGTTTACGGAGGTGAGGAGGCTTCTTCGCAACCYACGAGATGTTTGCTACAGCGTGCTTTTTCCTGCACGGCTCCACATCTCTCATGGGGAGGAAAACAAGGAATTCCTGGATGCCAATAAAGCAATGGACTACGTTAAGAAGAAAATCATCTAGGCGACGGACAGCGAGGACCTGCGTTGACCGCGGGTCCAGCCCTCATCTATCCGTTGTGACTGTCAGGTTGTAATGAACCTTCCAACTTTATGTCCAGCGTTATATCTTCATTTAATTTTAGACTTTATTCAAAAGGACAATATTCCTCTTTTGGTTCTACGTATGAGAGTTTGACAGGAGGTCTGTCTGGATCTTGGTTAGTGATTTATTTATCAGTGCTGCAAGGAGCATAAACAGTAATAATACTTTAAAGTAAGGGAACCCCTTCTTTATTTTTATTTTTTTGTTACCGTTATTTAGTTGTGGCGGGAGTCCAGGCAGGGAGTCAAGTCCCTCAGTATAAACACAAATGTGTGGATTTTTTTGTTTGTTGGGTTCTCCGTGTTTTTTTAGGGGAAAGGGGTGGGACTATACCGGATCTTTTTGTTTTGAGAATGTCTTTTTCAGGTTATTTTTTGTGATGGTTTGTGGATATTGTACTACTGTCCGACTGACCATACATGAGCAGTTCTAATATTAACAGGTTCATCAACAGTCACCCAGTTAACCGTGTGAGTTGGAATGTGAAATTCCTCAATGGTCCAAGTGAAATTTAGGAAATTTATGACACATTTAAGACAACTTGATGCTAATATTACTTTTTTTGCAGGAGACCCATTTGGGTGAGGCAGACAGTGCAAATCTAAGCAGGCACTGGTCTGGTCAGGTGTTTCAGTCTAATTTCCAATCTAAATCGAGAGGGGTAGCCATCTTAGTTAGTAAACAGGTGCAATTTATGGCATCCAGTGTTAAAACGGACGCTGCTGGATGTTATGTAATTGTGGTGGAAAAACTATATGAATTTCCTGTCATTTTTGTCTCAGTATATGCTCCAAATTGGGATGACCAAACATTTTTAATACACTTTTTTCAAATGTACCTAATAT